CTGTTGCATGTTCTGCTAATCATGAAGCACACCGCTAACTTCTACATATGTTTGAGTCATATGTTAGAGTTTCATAGATGAAAACATCTGAGCTTATTAAATAGCATGAAGATGTCGCCGATAAGAGCTCAGCATTTTTGTTGTTACACGAAATTTATATTGAAATTTGATAAATCACAATTTCACCCCGAGAGTTTACAGCTACTGAAAGTGTGTGTGTTTACAGTTACTGGCAAAAAACCCTCTGCAAAAATCCTCGTACATAAACTTTATACTTCAAACTCTCTTTTTCTTCGGAAAACTGACAAGTCCTACGAAATTTTCACAAAATGTACAAAATGGAGTAATCGCATAGGGCATTTTAGCAAGGATATAGAAACGATATGTAATATAGTTTCAAAAAAATCATGAAAATGTGATTCAATTCGATTCGAAAGAACATTTTCGAAAGCTTAGTCGGCGCTATTCGACTCAATTCAATCAAATGGAAGCTTATAAGCTCTTTTTGGTTGAAACGTTTATTCAAAATAGACTCTATCAAGTTAGAACACTTGAGAAAACCTGCTATTCTATGACTAGAATTTCAATTAAAGAAAAATAAAGAAAGGAATATTCGCAAGAAATACTTTATTTATAAGATTCGTCTTTCCATTTATTATTTTCTTTCAAACGTAAAAATAATATATTATTCATCGCCGATAATTTACCGTCGGTAATGGTAAAATGAATTTACTGAAACACGAGATTACTGTGGTAGCGGTAAAAATCTTTTTACCAAACCTGTTTCTGATATTTTGTTTGTATTTCTTTATTTCGTTCTAACTGTGATCATTCTTAATTGCGCTAAACTGTTTCATCGTTTTAATATGCTAATGAAGATAAAATACCGATATTAGGTCAAATTGCTCGTTTGTTAGCTTCTATTTAATTATTATTTGAACCTCACAACTCTTCCGACTCTAGTAATTAAAACATTTTTTGTTATGCAGGTAGTCTACATTTTATTCACCAGTTATGTGGTAAGGTTGCTTTATGTTATTAAACAAAATCTTCACCTCCGGTTATCGTATTTAGCTGCTTCGCACCACATTTGCAACTCTCGCTGGCGTGATTGCTGTCTAGTTTATATACGTGTTTAGTCATTTAATTGTCTGAACAGCGAAGACTTTAAGCATTAAAGTATTTGAGTATTTGAGTATATGATGAACATTCAATTATCTGAGCATTCGAGCATTTAGTCATTTACAGCGGATTGACGCCATTGTTAAGCAATAATTAAGCTCAATTACACGTTAGCTCGAGCATTCACCGTTTCGTTTAGCAGCGAGAGAAGTATAAATACGGCATTCAAAAGCATGAAAAATGAGATTAATCTTTCCAAAATTGCTTGTTTTACCGTTTTCCTTTATCTTTTTACCTTTTGAATGACACACGTTCTTAAAAATATTTGCAAAGTTTTTTTACTCTTTTACTTGTTGAAAACAAGAATTAAAAAAAAAACCTTCGGGTTTAGGTTTTTTAATTCTATATAAATAGTGTTTGGAAAAACGAAACCACTCTGAGTGCCTTGCTTACAATCGTATGTTCATCGTTATACTTCAATATTGTATTAAATTTAGTCTTACATATCTATGCTTAGTAAACTCATGTAAAACACACAAAATACACAAGAAATTCCTGGAGGAAGTCATATTCGTAGTCTTGACTGGCTACTAGTTTTGTATTTTTCAGTTACAATGAATGACTAAAATCTCAATCCGTGTGTATTTTCCAAATAATAATATTGGAGCAACTTTAACAGAAAAAGGTGAATACGGTAAAGCTTTAGAGAATTATGAAAGGACACTTGAAATTCAACTCAAGTTTTTGCCATCCAATCATGCGTCACGAGCAACTACATATGATGATATTGGGTTAGCTCACGATGAAGAGGGAGAATGCGATACAGCATTAGAGACTTGTGAAAGGGCGCTTGAAATTGAGCTGAAGTCATTTCCGTCCAATTGTCCATCATTAGTAACGACGTATAACAATGTTGGATTAGCTTTAACAGAAAGAGGGGAATGCGATATAGTATTAGAGAATTATGAAAGCACACTTTAAATTGAATAGAATTTCTGTCGGTCGAAAGAAGTAATTGCCAGTTAAATGCGCATGAAAATGATAAAATTGTTGTCGTGGCAGTGGAGCGGCAGTATTAGCTGGTTACTTTTTAACTTCATTTTTGGGTATCAGCTGAGTTCGAAACAGGTTTAGTGTATCAATTTTATCAGAGAATAGTATCTGAATGTAGACTTTATGTAATGTGCATAATTGGTGGTAAGGGGCTATGAGAAAAAAACGAGCTTTTAAAATTGTATTTATATATTGTTTTCGGAGAGCTAAATTTATTGCTGTATATAAAAATGAATGTTTTTTGTACTAACTAAGTGCATGTTCTTTCTTATACGTTCGTTCAAATTCATCGATTTTGTCGAAGTAAGTTTCATTGGTTCGGTAGTGCAAGATTTAGCATTTCATTTTTAACATTATTTTCCTCTGATGAATGCAATAAAAGATCGATCAGCGGTTGATACCATATGAATGTTATCTGTTTGTTTCTTAAATCTTGCAGTGATGTTTGTTCTGCATGTGAACTGAATATCCAAGATGTTGTAAAGTTAAATTATCTGGAATCCAGTTAAAGTTGATCTGGATCTCCACTATCATCTGGAAATAAAATCACGATTAAAATTATACTATCTTTAAAATTATTTGACAATGCGGTTGACTAAATCGAATATTTAAAGTCTGTGAAAAATCATAAACTTTTCTTTATTGTATCTGGTTTTTATACAGATATTGAAAAATTACTTTTCCAGTTGCAGAATTCATTAACAGTGGAGTTTATTTTCTTATTAAGTAGCAAAAAAATTATTTATAAAACATCATGTAAAATTTATCCAGAAATTCGTAGAATATATTCTGACATACAATCACTTCTCATACAGTTTGAATAGAATACATTTTTTTTCATCATTCGGTTTATTTTCCGGTTTTATTTCGAGTCATTGCCTTTATCGCAACTTTCTGACATCATTATTACAAAAGTAAATTACTTTTTAACAATGTATAATAAGATTTTTCATTGACGGGTAACAATGTGAGCAGAAACAAGACTTATTTAACATTCGACTCTTTTAGAGTCATTATCAAGACAAAGTTAGAAATTCGCACGCAAGAACTGTAGGTAAAATATAGAAACAGAGAGAACTGTAGGTAAAATATAATATTTAAATGAACTGTATCTCTGACAGTAAAATGACAGATCAGACCACTATAGTTGCTGCATGATAACTGACATCATTATGATATAAATGAGACTGTCTAATTTACGCTGAATTTATTGTCTTTAAGCGGACAGCTGCATTCGAACGATACTGTTCCAATTTCCTGTTGGTAGCTGCATTTACACAACGTATGCGAAATTTTGCGTTTTGCGCATACTTACATTTCATCCTTTTCTTGCTAGCCACCTTAGTTTTCTCTCGGTAAAATGGATTAGATGCATAATTGTCTCGACGTCTTCCGTTCTTAAACGTCCGACAAGTTGTTCTTTTTGTATCTTCATGCGGGGTAGAGACAGAGGTATTAGACTCACGATCGTCAGATTTATTCAGAACAGTCGGTTTTTGCACTTTTGATCTTCTCACAACATCACGTTGCTGGCGCTTCTTCGTTTTACTAGCTAAAGACTTTTCTTGACCATTAACTTTATCGGGTCATATAAAACCTAATACAATGTAATTCCGCTAAACAGCTCTTGAAACAGTCCTTGAACAGCCTTAAGGATAAGAAATCAAGTGTAGACACTTCTTATTTAGCATTCAAAATGTGGCTAAGCAACGGATAATAAGTGCTTAAACAATAGTTATACACTGCTTAAACAGTTCTGAAACAATTTAATAACTGAACAATGCTTGCTAATGTTTAATTATGCTTAATTATTGCTTAACAATGATGTCAATCCATTATAAATGACTAAATGCCTGAATGCTCAGATAATTGAATGTTCATATACTTCAATGCTCAAATACTTTAATGCTTAAATTCTTCGCTGTTCAGACAATTAAATGTTTCAACACTCATACAAATAATTCACTACAACAGTCAGAGAGCAATATAATATTATGCTAGAATAATTCTAAATGTACACTCTTAAATAACTATAGTTATCTTAATAGAAAACCAATAAATCTCCGAATGAAGGCTCTTGCAGTGGCTAAATGATTATACACGTCTCTTCTCTATTCTTTTCTTCTAAATATTTCAAACAGTTTCAATAAATGTAATTATATAGAAATACAATGCGCAATAAATGTTTTCGAAAAATATCTTATCTGAGTATAGATAAACTTTTTCTTTCTCCCACCCACTGGAAAATTTTTTTCCAAACTCGGCGAGATCACGCGAAATTCTTCCGTGATCTCTCTGGAATTTTCCTCGCGAGGAAAATTCCTGCGTGATCTTGCTTCTTTTTTTTCCTTTTGTATAAACTTTATTTATCAATCCAATAGACAGGTACAAATACAACCGAGCGTAATAACGTTCATTATAGTATTCACACCTCCAAAACCTCAGTTATGAAGGAAAGAGAATAAGAAAAAACAAAAACGAGAAGGGAAAGGAGAAAAGAAGAGAAAAGATGCTCAAAAAGGAAAAAAGAATAAATAATAGTAACTCACGATTCGTGATACAAACAACAGAAAAAACAGCTAAAAGGTGAAGAAATGATATAGGACCGGAAGGATACCCGGCGTTGATCTGGGAAGGCGCAACACAGGTTTTTGTTTTGCAGATGACGTTTTGATGAAGCAAGTGATGAATCATTTAAAGCGACGTGTGCTCTTTATAAAAGCAGTGACACTGTCAGCAATAAGCATCATTGATTCCAGATTGTAATGTGTTCTTAGTAGTAAAAGATCCAAGTTAAAGGCTCTGAAAGGTTTTAGTATATCACGAAGCAAATTCCTTTGTTTAGCATATAATGTACAATGCAAGAAATTATGTGGAAGAGTCTCATCTTTCCCACAGTCATAATTCTCTAGATCGCCCAGTGTGAGTAGATTTCATGTCATTAGTATTGCTCTCAGCGGCGGAAAATCAACCCGACAACGGGTATACGCTACTTCAACTCTTCTAGGGATAGTGGAACGAAGATAGCGATTCTTATCAAGATTATTAAAAAGTAAGTCATTTAATTTTGTTTTAAAAGTTGAAAGAGAATTTGCTGTTTTAACATGAGGCGGTAGTTTATCCCATTCATGGGGAACAAGAGCAAAATAAGTGCGTTTTATTGCAGAGCCCTTCAGATGGTTAGTAGAAAATACTTGGTGATCGTTTGACCGCGTAATGTAAGCATTTAAAGGTTGGATTTTCACATGATCACTCAAAAAATGCGGAGCAGAACCGAATATAATACGACGAAAGAGCGTCAGCCGAATCTTTGAGAAATGGTCTTTCACAGGTAACCAGTGGAGGTCATTCAGGATTTTTTCTTGTGAAGTTGTATACATGGCTCCAGAGACAACTAGACCTGCCTGGAACTGCACTTTATCTAGTTTGTCAATGTTATATTCAGGTGTCAAGGAGTACAGTGAGGATCCATAATTTAATGATGGCATGACATATGCGTGATAAGAGATATTCAGCGCTTCTCGATTTAGCCACCATTTTTGCAGACGCAGCAGACCAACGAGTGAGCTTAATTTTGCACACAGCTTATCTATGTGCTTCGTCCACATCAAATCTTGTGAGAATAACATGCCAAGATGAACATGCTCGTCGACATTATCGATAGCATTATTGTTCAAAAATAGAGTAGGAAGAGGTATAGATTTTATCTGATGTGATCGTGAGAAAAGGGGAGCCTTACATTTAGCCATATTGAAGTCTAGTAGCCACTTTCTTGACCACACAGCTAAACGGTTTAAGTCACGATTTAGGGAATCAGTTGATGCATGCATATCGCCACCACTCCCAAATAAACATGTATCGTCTGCGAAAAGTTTGCACAAATTTTCCAGATTGTCGGATATGTCATTTATATAAATCAGAAACAGAAGCGGGCCTAAGACTGACCCTTGAGGCACCCCACAATTGATTATCTTTCCACTAGAAGTATGTCCTGAAACCATAGTGACTATTCTTCTTCCCGAGAGATAGGAACCTAACCACTTAAGGACAGAACCCCCAAATCCGTATTTCTCTAGTTTTAAGAGGAGGCCCCTATGCCAAACGGTGTCAAAAGCTTTTCTTATATCCAAAAATATACCACGAACGAACCCAAAGTTATCAATACCTTCATTTAATTTTGTGTACAATCTCATGAAGTTGATTTACAGTACTATCACCACAACGAAAACCGGATTGATGATCATTTAACAATTTATGTTTTGTCAAGTAAATGTACAACTTTTGATGAACCAGTCTTTCACACACTTTTGAGAGAGCCGGCAATAAAGTGATCGGGCGGTAATTTGATTTGTCATGCACATCACCCGACTTGTGTAATCCATTTACATGCCCTAGTTTCCACGCTTCGGTATATATTCCTACCGAAAGTGATTCATTAGTTAATTAAGCCACAACCGGTGTTATAACAGATGAGAGTTCTCGAAGTACACGATTGCTAATTCCGGGCGAATTGGCTTTGTTCACATTAAGCTTACGAGGGAATCTCACCAACTGATACCCTCTGTTTGAGCTCATACTCTGCTCATAGGTAGGACTCATAGTGTAGATAAAAACTCTAAAAGGATTCATCCCCTTGACTCTTGAAGACCTGGTTTTCTGGAAAAACAGTT